GTTGTGAACAGTAGGTGTGAAACAGAAAAAATCAACTATAAAAAATTTTTCGGGCTAAAGACGACACTCCCACCTCCCCTCCAGTGGTCGACTACAACCCGCCCAGGGGATTCCCCAGACATCTACGTGTCCTGGATGGTGATAAGGGTGAGGGGAAGCTCGAATGTAACGAGGCTTGCGGTAGGGCAAGGATTAATAACCTTGACGAAATGAGGTTTGAACGAAATGGACTGACTAATAGGTTTGAATGGGCCTGTGGATTTATCCTTGTATCTTAACTTCAGATCCCGAGTATTTAGCCCATCTACACTTAAAATTTTTCCAAACCGTAAAAAAACCCTGATAACAGCATCTGCCACATAGGGTTACTATTCCCAACACTGAGCCCTATTTACCGACATGAATTCCTTAAAGTTCACTTGATTTTTTGCGTCTGGTTGGAGGGGGCATTCTGCGCTTTCTCTAGCTCTTTTTGTTAGTTCATGTTAAGTGGCAGGTCTCATTTCGGTGAGACTTGTAAACTTCCGTAGCAACGAAACAGGACCAGTAAGCCCTTTTGGTCACAAGAATTTACAAGTTTCACAAGATGGCCTGCACAACCTTACCTGAACGGCATTATGTGCCCCCACGAAGCCACTGCGCCCTTGTACTTATACGGCTGTTTCCACAGGTCACAGGTTATCTAGGCAGATTTCTTTGCCACCATATCCAGCCACAGATCTGACTCTTCCAAACCTCACTGAAGGTTTGAATTTCACCGGACTACATCACCTAGTATAGACCAAAATAGCCATGAATTTCTATTAAATGGCCCCATGTCAATATTGAACATGCGCTCTTTAATGCCGCATGCATAATAGCGTCGCCTACGATGACTCCCTCCGAGTCTCACATTCCAAAGAGGCGGGGCTTAAAATGTCCGAGCAAACATCAACGATGAGTCACTATGTGTTCTTCCATCGACTGAATAAAGATCTCAAAAGGTTTCCTTTAGTCACTCTCAGGAAACGTCATGGGGATGACTGAGTGCTGATCCTCTTGGAGGGGACATTTTGCACTTTCGCTAGTTCCTTTTGTTATCATGTTGAATAACAGTCTTACTTTGGTGAGACTTGTACCCTCCCGCGAAGCTGCGAAATGGTGCAAATGAGCCACTTTGTCGCAGGAACATACTTCTTCACAAGGTGGTTTGTAAAACTTTGCTGAGGGCCATTTGTTATCCCCTCCTCCCTCACCAGAACTGGACCCAAAGCCTTTCCACCACCCTTTTCCCGAATTCCGCGGGACAATCACGAAGTCACCAGCTAGGGAAACAGGGTCAAGGTCCATTATTGTGTTGTGTGGGGATGTCGCTTAATACGACCCCCTTTCATCACCTTACCTACTACCTTGCCATTAAAATTTGCGGTACTTAGACTGAGGTAAACAACCCCAAACAACCGTCGGAAATACCAGGTTCGCGGGAAAATTCTGTCATATTTTTTCAAGTAAGGCTTTCTTTTTATAGAGAGTGTGTGTTGTGAGTGTTGCATGTTATTACGGGGTCCTTGCCAGTTTTTGAGCACTTCGTGGATGCCATCGCTTCACAATGCAGGCCGGCGCGACGCAAAGTTGGACATCATCTCAATTTTG